AAGGCACAGGCCTGTAACTGACACATGATGTAAATTGTATATGGAAGATGCTCTGATGTCCATGAAGGTACCAGATCGTCTAAAAATTTGTACTGATTGAATTTCACAAGTGTGGAGAGGCTCCAACTAGTCATTTTATATAAATCTCACAAGACCGTCCTTAGAAAACAGTAACAACTACAATTCTAAGGAGCCAAGAGATTTCCTCCATCCCTCCCAGATTCCTTTCTCCCCACCATGATTACCTGCAGTGCAGATGTGGCAGGATGAATGTGGGGCCCAAGCAATGCCGTTGACACATGCTCGATGGTTGTTTAACCTGGCGACAGGTGTGCAGGGAACTCGGACATCTAGAATCACCACCTGCGGAAATAATAAGTAAAAGGCCTGGGATCGTCAGAGTTTCACAGAAAAAAACAAAAAACACTATCCACATGCAAAAAATCTTTTTAGGCATAACTTTTTCATTTCTGGATTTAAAGAACATTAGAGACAGGATTTTCATAGGATTGAGGGAAAACAAGACAAAGGACACGGGTAGTTTATAGTCTCTATCTTGAGCAACACTGGGCCTTTAGACTGATAGGGGAGATGCAGAAACAGGCAACAGGAGTCTGGGTAATCCTGGATCCCAGCAGGTGCACGTGGTAAGAATTCTAGGCATCTCAGCTGAATGGAATGAGAGCCCAGCCAAAGCAGAATCTGAGGCACTAACGCCACCAAACCAAGGACAACCAATGCATTCTCCCCACCCACAATTCACCTTTTATCAAGTAACAGACTAGAGAGAGCTGCCATTTCTTTTTCCTTTTCTTTTTTTTTTTTTTTGAGACAGAGTCTCCCTCTGTCACCCAGGCTGGAGTGCAGTGATGCGATCTCCACTCACTGCAAGCTCCACCTCCTGGGTTCAAACCATTCTCCTGCCTCAGCCTCCCCGAGTAGCTGGGACTACAGGCACCCGCCACCACGCCCAGCTAATGTTTTGGTTTTTTTTTAGTAGAGATGGGGTTTCACCATGTTAGCTAGGAAGGTCTTAATCTCCTGCCCGCCTTGGCCTCCCAAAGTGCTGGGATTACAGGTGTGAGCCACTGCGCCCAGCATTTTTTTTTTTTTTTTTTAGACGGAGTCTCGCTCTGTCTCCCAGGCTGGAGTGCAATGGCACGATCTCGGCTTATTGTAACCTCTGCCTACCAGGGTCAAGCGATTCTCTTGCCTCAGTCTCCTGAATAGCTGGAACTAGAGGCGTACGCCACCACACCTAGCTAATTTTTGTATTTTTAGTAGAGACAGGGTTTCACCATGTTGGCCAGGATGGTCTCGATCTCTTGACTTTGTGATCCGCCTGCCTTGGCCTCCCAAAGTGTTGGGATTACAGGTGTGAGCCAGAGCGCCCAGCCAGAGAGCTGCCATTTCTACATCTGTTTGCTGAAGCTGGATGAATCCGTCCAGACTACAGAAGGGAAAAATCTGCTTTTTCACTCAGCACCATAGGCACATACGAGTTGGTTTACTCTTTAGATATTGCTTTTCCTGGCTAACTCCAACTCTTCAAAAATTAAAAGTTCTTAACAAGTAATTCTTGTTCCAAATCAGGCTTTCTCAGTCCCGGGACTGCTGTCATTTTAGGTTGGATATACTTTGCTGAGGGACTGTCCTGGGCACTGTAGGATATTTAGCAGCCTCCCTGGTCTACCCCCTAGATACCATAGTACCAACTGTGTCTCCAGAGTTGTGACAACCAAAAATGCCTCCAGACATTCCCAAAGATACTCCAGGGGCCAAACTGCTCCAACTGAGAAGCAGCCTTCTAGATACACTAGGCACTGCTGAAGTTAGGCAGGGCCCATGGTAGTCTGAGGGGAGTGCTCACCTCCATTCCATCCATGGCCATGGTGGCCAGGTAGTTAGGGTCCTGCTTGTTCCAGCAGAGGCGAAGCAGCGGGTGATGCTGTGGGTCTTCGTAAATGATGGTGCTGTGTTCTAGATGGCGGAGGTCAAACATCCGCACGGAGCCATCAGCACCCACAGAGGCAAACATGTCCCTGCCACCCCCGGCCCGGCTAAATGCAATATCATAGACCTGTTGGCGAACAAGAAGCTCCGGTCAGATTCAGATCCATTACCTCTTCTTCCTATAGGAGGGAAATCTGCCACGTCAAGTTCATCTAAACCTCGCTCATGACACAGAAGCAGGTAAATGAAGCCCAAACAGTGTCTGTGAGTACTGAAACCTGAGAGTTCTAGTATCCGTGGCTTTCCAAAGATGGAGGATCATTCTGCTATAGAAATTGGCTGGTTTCTTCCCACATTCCTGCTTTCCAAATCTTCTTCCTCCAACCCCTGAGATAAAACAAAGGCACATACCCTGCTGACCAACAGAACAGTGGCTGTCTTCTGCCACACGACAAGAATGAGACATTTATTTCCTGGGCCTTATGCACAATCAGAGGCAGGTCTATGAGCCCATTAAGTCCTAGATCATCAATCACAGAGGTGAAAGCAGCCCTCCTGTGGTCACTGAATAGCAGCCAAGCTGATTCTACTGTGCAACCTGGACCTGAGACTCATGTGCAAGAAAGAGGTAACAGAAATTTTGAGTCATGAGAGGCCTAGATGTTCCTGTATTCACAAATAGGTTTAGTAGCACCCTCTTGTCCTAGGACATGTTGTTTCTTCTCCTAGTTGGTTTGTGATCATAAGTGAATCAATTTAGGTTCTAAATCACTGTTTTCTGCTTTTATTTGCTGCAAACATTGCATATCACTAACATCTATGAGGAAATAGAGGCAGAGAGCAATGGAGAGCTTCAGAGAAAGAGAGGACGAAGGCCGGGTGCGGTGGCTCACACCTGTAATTCCAGCACTTTCTGAGGCTGAGGCAGGCGGATCACAAGGTCAAGAGATCAAGACCATCCTGGCCAACACAGTGAAACCCTGTCTCTACTAAAAATACAAAAAAATTAGCTGGGCATGGTGGCTGGCACCTGTAATCCCAGCTACTCCGGAGGCTGTGGCAGGAGAATTGCTTGAACCCGGGAGGCGGAAATTACAGTAAGCCGAGATTGCACCACTGCACTCCGGCCTGGGACAGAGCGAGACTCTGTCTAAAAAAAAAAAAAGAGGATGAAGAGGGGCAAAGAGAAAGCCAGAGACAGACAAGTAGAGAGAGAAACAGAAATAGAAAAGCTAATGCCAAACAAAACTCATCTTCCGGGGATAATGACAGATGACTTCTGGGGAGACAAGACTAGAATTTCTCACTAAATATTGCAGCTCCAGTGTTGAGGTTCTGCCTACTGAGGGACACTGCCAAATGAGCATCTATTGCTATTTAATCTCATTAGTTCCTTTTTTTTCTGGCTATGAAGAAATTACGCTTGTTCTTCTATGGCCGGAAGTAGAAGTGGTTCAAAAGGGACTGGGCCAGTCATCAACAAGGAGGCACCCAGGCCTGACATGCCTGACAGATCGAGGCTTTGTCTAGTACTGTACAGCTGCTTTATGGCACAGCCGTGTTTATTGTATACCCCCCAATGCCAGCTCCTGGTAACCCTCAGGGACAGAGATGCCATAGGTGCCATGGGCAGTGTGGCCGAGTATGTAACACTCTCTTAGCTCTAAGTGACTGTTCCTTCAGTGCTCCACCAGCATGGTTCACTGGGAAACCAAGGGAAGGTGACAACTCCCAAGTACACTAAACTCTCTTCTACAGTGATCTGCCAGGTATCAATGAGAGCCTTCCAAACAAGTCTCTTCCTAGAGAAAGGTAGACTGAGAAAAATCAAAGGTGCTAGAAAGGTGCTATTACTGTTTCTCTAGAGCCACTATCCTTTCTCAGGCTCTTTCCTTCAAGACAAGGCTGCCGATCTAAGCCTGTCTGCTGCCAAGATCCATTCCTGGCCTTTCTCCCTGCTCTTCTCTGCATCACAAGAGAACTGATTCCTACAGTGTGCATTTGGCAGGCTCTCAGATCTGCTTGCTGCTTCCAGCTGGTTCAGCCATGGGAGGCTTTGGTGGGAAACTGGATGATGGGAAGCAGAGAGAAGCTAAGGTATTTCTCCTCCCCTCTCTCTGTGCCTAGAAGCGTCTCTGCCAGGTAAATCCAGCCCCTGGGCTCCAGGAACCCTGCCTCCTCCCATGGTCCTTCTGGCCCATAGGCAGCTGCAGCTTTCTGCTGCTCCCATTCTATGGATGACCTCACTGCTATCTATGTGGCTTCTCAGCTTTACCATCTTCTGTACAAGCAGCCCCTAGATTAAATCCCCGCAGTTCAAATACTTAAGAGTAGTTCCCATTTTCTGGGTTGGACCTAACAGACAACAGCAGGCTAAGGTGTCATATAACTAAAATGTAGCAGCTTGTTCAACTTGATGCCAAGAGGGTTTCCAGAAGTTCCTTACTGGTCCTCTCTGCGGCACAAACTCTTCATTTGACCCCTGGTTTAGCAGCAGTCAAGTCTAGAAGTTTTGTAACAGGGCTTACCCTTAGGAGTATAAAAGCCAAAGACAACCCCTTACTAAGAATGATAACCTGGGTCACATCTTCCTATGCTGTTGACAACCTCAAGTTTCTGACCTAAGGTCAAGGCATTCTTTTTATCTGTACAGATATTAATACCCCTAGCTGTGCAGGGTAAGGTAGAAAAGAAAAGGAAATAGTACCCATAGGAGATGAGAGTACCAGGAGCATGCAACGACTCTAGAAGGAAAAGATTTATGGGGATTTTCTAAAATCACTGAGAAGAATACTTTGATTAAAATGCAATTGGCTGGGCGTGGTGGCTCACGCCTGTAATCCCAGCACTTTGGGAGGCCAAGGTGGGTGGATCACCTGAGGTCAGGAGTTCGAGACCATCCTGCCCAACATGGTGAAACCCTGTCTCTGCTAAAAAATACAAAAATTAGCCAGGCGTGGTGGCGGGCACCTGTAATCCCCGCTACTCTGGAAGCTGAGGCAGGAGAATCACTTGAACCCAGAAGGCGGAGGTTGCAGTGAGCCCAGATTGCACCATTGCACTCCAGCCTGGGCAACAAGAGGAAAACTTCGTCTCAAAAAAAAAAAAAGCAATCACAAATAGTTCTCCTCAGTTTTCCCAATAAACACAGAAGCATCACCATCAAAGTAAAATATATTCCATTGCCTCCATTGCCAACAGTAATGAACGTATAAAGATTTAGGATTTTATAAAACATTTATAGAGAAAAATGGATAATTAGGTTTGTCTCTCAGAAACTTTTTTCTCTTCCTGTCTCTCTTCCTTCCTCCCCAAATCTAATCTATTTCAAGATAAGTATTACTCTAAAGTTATTTTTTAATTACATCAGTTCCCAGCTCCTCTATAAGAGACTTCATTATTAAAAAACAGCAACATCGGGAAAGGAAGTTCCAGGGCCCGTGCTGGGAAAGAGGTGGGGGGACCAGGGGAAGACTCAGGGTGCAATGGCAGCGCAAATTCCAATTGTAGACACCACTTCCACTCCTAGAATAGTCCAGAACAGCAAGAAGAGGCCGGCCAGCCCTTCCCACAATGGCAGCAGTGGCAGGGGCTATGGCGCCAGTAAGAAGAAAAAAGTGTCTGCCTCCAGCTTTGCGCAGGGTATCAGCATGGAAGCCATGAGTGAGAATAAAGTGGCACTCTCTGAGTTTAGCACAGGACCTGTGGAAAAAGCTGCCAAACCTTTGCCATTTAAGGATCCCAACTTTGTACACTCTGGCCATGGTGGCGCAGCTGCTGGTAAGAAGAACAGAACCTGGAAGAATCTGAAACAAATCCTCGCTTCCGAAAGGGCATTGCCGTGGCAACTGAACAATCCTAACTACTTCAGTATTGATGCTCCTCCATCCTTTAAGCCAGCTAAGAAGTATTCTGATGTTTCAGGCCAACTACACAGACCCCCAGAGCAAACCGCGGTTCAGCACCATTGAAGTTTTCCTACATTCGGAGGCTGCCCTCTGACGTCGTCACCGGCTACCTGTCCCTGAGGAAGGCCACAAGCATCGTTCCCTGAGCCCGAGAAAGGGAGATGAAATGGAAAGCTGTTTCAAAAACAGACTCTGGACTCGTGATTTTGTTTCATGGAAACAAACTCGTTCTGCTGTCAATCTGAAAATGCCAGTGCTGTGCCTTGGAAAGAATGTTTGGCTTTCATTTAAGGGTTTTTTTGAGTGTGTGTTTTCCCTCCAAGTGTGATATTTCCTGCTGAATTAAATTATACTTCAGTTGTTGCCTCAAGTAAAGGTGTTTGACAAGAAAATACAATAACTATACTTTTCATTAAAAAAAAAAAAGCAACATCTAGCATGAAAAGAACAATGACAGACCGTATAAGTCATTTACATTAGCCAAAAAAAGCATTAGTTTACAATAGTGTTGTTTTCCCGTTTTTGATACATTACTATTGTCAATTTAGACAAGAAGATGTTATGTTACGATTTTCTACATAAATTGCAGAACAATGAGAGAACAATCTGACCTCTTCCTGTGTGGAAGGCACAGGAAGCATTTGAGGAAAGACGAAATGGAAAAGCATCATTACCTCTTTGTCATGGGCGATCAGTTGGGTCTTCACATGGCCAGACACAAGATTCACTCGCCCTAACACCTGCCCTGTCTCCAGCCCCCAGATGGTGCACGTTGTATCAATGCTTGAGGTACCTGCAAACAACCAGAGCAAGTCAGGGCTGATGGGACCAGGCAAGCTTCCCTCCTGTGTCTACTCATCTGCTTGGCCCAGGGAGCAACATACCATAAAGACTACAGAAAACAAGGTGGCGGCTACCGGCAGAGCCACAGAGGAAGTCAAGTATTCAGTCCTCACCATAAGACCTTAGATTCTAACTGGAGGGACAAGATCTACACACACAGAAAGCTCACCCACACAAAGGAACTGATAAATAACCACATTCCATGCCTAGCCTACTTCCCACAGAGCCTTGTTCTAGGATGATGCATGGCCCAGTGTGACATCTTAGAAAATGTATTTTGGCTTCTTCCAGCTGAAATATATACTCCCTAACTCCCTTACCTAAAAGATAAGGATCCACCTCATTCCAGTCAAAGGAGGTCAGGGGAGCACAGAAATCAGAGTTCTTATTATTGTTTAGCAAACACTCCAGCCTGGTCTCTGTTTCACCAACCTGAAGGAACAAGAATTTAAAAAAGAATCAGCCAGTCTTATCCTCATAAAAACTATTTTTAAAAATCCCTGTTTAGAAAATATCTTAGCAAACATAAGACATGAGGGGAAAATATTTTTATCAAAAACAGTAATAAACCCAGGACTCCCCGAATGCTACTTTTTCTCATACTTTCTCCTCTGCCCAGCTTTTGTTTTCTACATTTTCATCCCTGCATCTTCCTAGAGGAGAGGTCTTCTCACCTTGCCCAGCCTGGAACCTCTACACAGGTGTACTAAGGCCATGCCCATGCTACAGAGGACGCTGCTGCTGCTGAGCTCAGCCGAGGGCAGAGGGAAGCCTCCAAGATCCACTCACACACTTTATCAGAATCAATGGCCTGGTATTTCATTTAGTTTACTCAAAAATACCTTGGCTGCAAACAGAACATAAGTTCCCAAGCGTTCCCACCTCCCCTGAAGGCTGTCATCGTCACCTCGGGTTGACTGAGCTGACTGCAGCCAGACTTCATGGAATCTTGACTTGATTTACTAGAAAATCTGCTGAGCCAAATGAAGTCAGTCCATTTAAGTTTTGCTTGCTTATCCCGTGCTGCAGTGACACTCGCTGCCTCTGACCCCATCTGTTCTGTGACTTCTCACTGCTGACAGCTGAAGCTGAGAAAGCCGACTTGTCTGGCTGCTAATAAAGCATCCGCTTACCCTCCACACACGGAGATAGTCGCCGCTTGTTGCCAGTAGGTCTGGATAGACGCCTTTTGTATCAGGGATCCACATGAGCTTTGTGGTGGGGTACGGGTGGTCAAAGGTGTTTCTGCAAATAAACTCTGAACTCTCCTCATCTAAACCAACAAGCTGAACCTGTAACATGCCAAAGTTGAGCCACATAAGCATTTGTGAACAGTATAGCAAATACGATTAGATCCCGGTTAGTGATAAGATTTGTTTTTTTTTTTTTTTTTTTTTTGAGACGGAGTCTCGCCTGTGTGTCGCGCCAGGCTGGAGTGCAGTGGCCAAGATCTCAGCTCATTGCAAGCTCCGCCTCCTGGGTTTTTACGCCATTCTCCTGCCTCAGCTTGTGTAGCTGGGTACAGGCGCCCACTCCCCTGGCTTGTTTTTTTGTATTTTTTAGTAGAGACGGGGTTTCTACCGTGTTAGGTATGTGTATGGTCGTCTGTATATGTGGTGTCCGGCGTCTCGGCCTCCCAAAGTGCTGGGATTACAGGCTTGAGCCACCGCGCCCGGCCGAGGTTTTTTTTTAAGACAAGATCTTGCTCTGTTGCCCAGGCTGGAGTGCAGTGGTGCGACCACAGCTCAATGCAGCCTCCATCTCCTGGACTCAAGTGATCCTTCCACCTCAGCCTCTCAAGAAGCTGGGGTTAGAGGCATGCACCACCATGCACAGCTAATTTTGTTCATTTTTTGTAGAGACAAGGTCTCACATGTTGCCCAGGTTGGTCTCAAACTCCTGGGCTCAAGTGATCCTCCCACCTCAGCCTCCCAAAGTGCTGGGATTACAGACATGAGCCACCATGCCTGGCCAGTGACAGAAGTCTTGACACTATACTACACTAAACTGCAGAATCAAAAACAATTGCCGTGAGAGGGCATCTAGTCCAACCATCCCCTGGCAGACAAGGACACCTAGACTCAAAGTGGTGGTTACGCACAATACTGCAAAGGCAGTAGGAGACAGAGACAAGATTTGATTACAGGTTTTCTGATTCAAGTACTGCATTCTTGACACCAACTACATAAGTGCACTCTCTGCCAAGCCAGGCACACCTTCCCCCAAAACCCCTGAGGTATTTGAAAATGAGCAGGGGTGGTTTTGGCTGCCACAATGACTGGAGTGCTGAGGACATTTGGTGCTCAGAGGCTGGGAATATGAATATGTGCAATTTCATTAAACAAACTAATGCTTACTTAAAAATCCAATAGTGCACAACCCTCATCAACCCCAAACTCAACACTGGCTCATTATGTTTACACATAAAGGTACGTCAAATGACCATTTAAGAGCCCAAACCAAGCGAAAAAAAGTGGGCACCATTGATGATTAAGTCCCACCTAGCTCTGATCACTTTTTCTAAGAGTCAATTTTAGCCCACCATTAACTTCCAATCTTTGCTGTCAAACTCGATCTGGCTCGGTGGGACACTAACTGTACATTTGCTTATGAACTTCCAGCTGGAAGATGGAATGGTGGGAATATTTGGTAAAGATCCGCAATAAGGGGAAAAGCACTAACCAGACAACACAAAATAGAATTCCTTCTACTCATCTTTCTGACTTCAGTCTCAGACACCAGTATCTTCCACACATTTTTTTTCCCCAAAGTTAGGTATAGTTGCATGCAATAAAACCCACTCAGGTGTACAGTTAAATGAGTTTTGGCAAATGTATAGTTGTATAACCCCCACAGTAAGATATAAAACATTTCCATTAACCCAGAAAGTTCTCCCAGGCTCCTCTGCAGTCAACCCCTTATAACCACCCCAAGTGGCCACTGGTCTATGGTTTTGTCTCACCATAATATCACATAAATAGAATCAGATGGTCTTGAGTCTTTGGTCTGGCTACTTTCACTCAGTACACTGCTCTTGAGATTCATCCATGTTCTTGTGTGTATCAGTAGTTGCTTCTTTTCTTACTGCTGAATAATATTGCATTATGTGCAACCTGTAATTTTGTGTGCGCTATGTGTGCATTATGTGCACTCTATAATTTTGGTTTTGTTTTTGAGATAGGGTCTCACTCTGTTGCACTAGTTCGAGTGCAGTGGTGCAATCATGGTTCACTGCAGGCTCAACCTCCTGGGCTTAAGCAATCCTCCAGCTTTAGCCTCCCCAGTAGCTGCGACCACAGGCATGTGCCACCACACCCAGCTAATTTCTAAATTTTTTGTAGAGATGGGGTCTCCTTATGTTGCCCAGGCTGGTCTCGAACTTCTGGGCTCAAGTGATCCTCCTGGCTTGGCCTCCCAAAGTGCTGGGATTACAGGAGTGAGCCACCGTGCCCAGCCAATTTTTTATGTCCTAGTTAAGAAATCTTTGCTTAATCCCAGGTCCCAAATATTTTTTCCTATGTTGTCTTCTAAAAGTTTTCTAGTTTTAGGCTTCATATTTAGGTCTCTGAGTCATTTCAAGTTAAATTTTTATATGGCACAAGATATGAATCAAGGTTTACTTTTTGTTGTTTTTCTTTTTGAGATGGAGTTTCGCTCTTGTCGCCCAGGCTGGAGTGCAATGGCACAATCTTGGCCCATGGCAACCTCCACCTCCTGTGTTCAAGCAATTCTCCTACCTCTCTGCCTCCTAAGTAGCTGGGACTACAGGCGTGTGCCATTACGCCCGGCTAATTTTTTAGTATTTTTAGTAGAGAAGGGGTTTCACCATTTTGGCCAGTCTAGTCTTGAACTGTTGACCTCAGGTGATCCACCTGCCTCGGCCTCCCAAAGTGCTAGGATTGTAGGCGTGAGCTACCACTCCCGAACAAGGTTTGCTTTTTTACGTATGTCTGCCTGTTCCAGCATCACTGGTTGAGAATTCTTTCTCCTTTGAATTACCTTGAACCCTTTATTGAAAATCAGTTGACTATGTATTTGTTCATCTATTTCTGGACTCTATTCTGTTCCATTATCTATTTGCCTATCTGTTTGCTAGTAGGCAAACTGTCTTGATTATAGTAGCTTTCTAGTAAGTTCTAAAATCAGATAATGAGTTCTCCAACTTTGCTGTTCTTTTTCAAAATTGTTTTGCTATTCTCTACTTTTGCTTTTCCATGTACATTTTACAATCAGCTTGTCAAATTTTACAAAAAGCCTGCTGAGATTCTGATTGGGATTCTGTTAAATCTATCGATCAGTTTGGGGAGAACTGACATCTTACTAAAAATACTAAAAAATTAGCTGTCACCCAGAGTGGAGTGTAGTGGTTCGATCACAGCTTACTACAGCCTTGGCCTCCCAGGCTCAAGTGATCCTCCCACCTCAGCCTCCCAAGTAGCTGAGACTACAGGTACAAGCCACCGTACCCAGCTAATTTTTGTATTTTTTGTGGAGACAGGGTTTTGCCGTGTTGCCCAGGCTGGTCTTGAACTCCTGGGCTCAAGTAATCCACCCACTTTGGCCTCCCTGGACCTGGGGCTTACACATATGAGCTACTGTGCTTGACCATGAAACTGTTTCAAATTCCATTTCCAATTGTTCATTGCTACTGTATATAGAAATACAATTGATTTTTATACATTAATCTTGGCTTCTATAACTTTGCTACATTAGTTGTTAGTTTTAGTAGCTTTTTTGTAGATTCCTAAGGATTTTTCTATGTATATTCATAGATCTTGTCATCCATCTTTAACTCTTAAAAATCCATATGACTAAGTCTAAATAT